CTAACAGATACAGAAGGGACGTGTAGCAAAAAGCAGGAGGAAAGGATTCTTTTTCTATGTTTTAAAACAGGAAGGAGAGGGGCGCCTGGGTGGCTCAGTCGTTAAGCGTCTGCCTTCGGTTCAGGTCATGATCCCAGGGTCCTGGGATGGAGCCCCGCATCGGGCTCTCTGCTCGGCGGGAAGCCTGCTTCTCCCTCTCCCCTTCCCTCTGCTTGTGTTCCCTCTCTTGCTGTGTTTCTCTCTGTCAAATAAATAAAATCTTTAAAAAAAATAAAAAATTAAATAAATAAATAAAAAATTAAATAAATAAATAAATAAATAGAAACAGGAAGGAGAGAGCCTGTGTGCCCAGCCGAGAGCTTTGGAAGAGGATGCACTGACTAGACACGCAGTGCCCCCCCCCAACCCAGGACCCAGCATAGCCCTGGGGGGAGGCAGGCAGAGGGGAAGCAAGAGATGTATCAGTCTTGGGGTTCCTGGCTGAAGTGGATCCTGGCCCCTCCTCCCCAGCTGAGCCTGGAAGCTGCGCACAGAAGATCCCCAGCAGGTATGGGGCGTCTGAGACTCCGAGGGGCCATCCCTCTCTCCTAGGCCGGACCCTGGGGACGCAGCTGATAACCCAGGGAAGAAATGGCTCCATATGTATTCAGGCAGAGGGGGCCGAGCTCAGACAGCCCTCTGAGGGACACAGAATTTGTGAGGTAAGCACCTGTGCAGACTGGACCGTCCATCACAAGAGCGGTGAGGACCCAGGAGGCTCTGCGGGAAAAAGCATGATTCGGCCGGTATGTGGACAGAGCCAGGAGCCCAGAGCAGTGGCACTTTACAAACTCAGCAGGTGTCATGTGGACACGCGGGGCCAGCTGCCCTCTCCCCGCCGCCAGGATGGGGCGCTTAGGAGCAGCCCCCCTCGGACACGAGGTGAGAGAGGAGCCCCAGCTGTGGCCAAAAGCACATTTCTTCACCTTCAGCAGAATGGAAGTGCCTCATAGAAATTAAGTTTAGTGGGGAAGAAATCAAGCAAGTTCTAGATCATGTACATCTGAACTTGGGGCATCAATTCATCCTCACCCCCCTGCCCCGGGGTTAATAGCAGTCAGCCAGATGAAAGACAAGGACGTCCACCCACGCCCTCACTCTCACTCTGCTCCCCCCTGCAGCAGGTCCCCTGTTTCCTCCGTGTGCCCAGACCTCAGTTACTACTTCCTCCCCCGCACACCACCACCTCCAGGCCCACTTCACACCCCAGCCTGACCCTGTTCTGCGCACTTCCCGCCCCCCGCCCCAGCCTTCCTTCCTCCTCCTGGTTTGCAGCCCAGCTGCTCCCAGGCACAGGGCTTAGCCGTGCACTCTTGACTCTTGTCTTGGAAATCCCTCCTTCCTCTCTGGCTCTCCCCTCGCGGGGCCTCACCCATAATGTTCTTGACATCTGGTTCTGATCGTGTCATCCCCTCCTGCAGACGTACACGTGGCAGTATGTGGCTCCTGTGCCCGGGCCGGCTGGTGAGGCCGGCAGGAGCGGGGGGAAGCGGCAGAGGGAGCGGCATGATTCAGCCCCTGGCCGAGGACTCCGGTTCTTGTTTCCCGCTGCCCCTCGCCCCCCACCCCCAGCTCAGGGAGAGTCGTTCATCCGACAAAAGCCCTCGGAGCCCCCACCCTCTGCCAGCCTCCGCTAATGCACAGAACACCGTCACGTTCGGTGCTGAACAAAACCCGAGACTCCGAGGGACCAGGTGACAAGCCCAGCTCACACGGACCGGAAAAATAACAGCGTCTCCTGTGAGCCAGGAGCTCTTCTGAGGAAATTCGGACCCGGGGATCAGAACCCCCCTGGCCAGGCTCCAGAGCCCACACCCGCTGGTATTTGAGTACCTACTGCTTCTCTGAAACATCTCTGGCCCCTGTCACTTGACACTTTATATTTTCTGGGACAATCGGCACTAATTTCACAGTCCTCCCCATTGTTAGTCCATGGGTCCTGATCTGGGGTTCTGAAAATAGTCACCCGGTATAGCCTCGGAGACCCCCACAGGCCTCAGCAGGGCAAGAGAGGAGGGGCTTCAAATCCGATGTGACAGATAAGGATAATGAGGGGGTCCAGAGAGGCCAGATGAGTTGCCCAGCCACCCCCCAGTCCTCGGCTCCTTCAGGGGACTCCCCAGGGCAGAGCCGGCACAGGGGCCTACCTCCTGGTGCCTGGGCCTGCTCTCTTCCCATTGTCATAGAAACATCTGGTAGGAACAGCAGAGCCTGGTAGACCCTTTGCCCAAGCTGGGCTGCGCCCCCCCCCACCGCACCTGCCTGCCCTCCTCCTGCCTCTCTGCTATTAAACCTCTTACCTCCTTTGAAGTCGAGTGGGAATACGGCCCTCTCCTGCAGGATGACGTCCTCAGTGCACCCTGTGTCCTCCCCTGGGCCAGCTGCCTCCGGTCTCACCCCGTACAAACCATGCTCCACCTGGCCACCAGAGCAGTCTGCCTCTTAAGTTAGCTCTAACCGTGACCACGCTGCTCAGAACCCTCCAGCAACTCCCCAGCACCTACGAGGTCAAGTCCCGACTTAGCCAGACATTCGAGGCCTTTTATGTCTTGGCCCCTCCCTACCTGTCCAGCCTCAAATCCCATTCTGCCCTGTTTCTGCCACCTTTCCATTTACATAGCATACTGGCCTCTCCCACCGCCCGGAACGTAGACTGCACTGTCCCACCTCCACCCCTTTCATCCTGCTGTCCCTTTTCCCCACATCGTGTGTCTTTCAAACTCCTATTTATCCTCCAAGGCCCTGCTCAAATGTCCCCTCCGCTACGAAGCTTTCCTAGATCACCCTCTCTAGAATTCTCTACTCTCTTCCCCATACTCCAGTGCAATAGAGGAAGGATCGCCTGTGCGGATCCTCTTCCTAGGAAAGCTGAGGACTCCCAGATACACCCTACCCAAGCCCACAGAACGGATCCAGCCCACCCATCCAGGTAGCAGGCCCCCCAGGGACACGGCCCGGCTCAGCTCCCTGCACCAGCTCTGTCTGATCACCCTTCCCCCTCAATATTCCCTGCATTTCCCCCCCCACCCCCCGACCGAGAGATGGCAGAGTGGAGCTGAAGTCCCCCGACTTCCAGTCTAGGCTGTTTTCCATTTCGTGGGCTGCTGCTTCTCCTGGCCAACCTCTCTCTCCCCTTCCTTGTTCGCTAACATTTCAGAGGGAAATACTATTTTCCAAAATTTGTAACTGAAAGGGATTGCTGGGGTGGGGAAGGTAGCTACATGGGCTCGCTGGGGTCACCAGGACTAAGCATTGCAGATCTCCTGGGGGACATTGTCCCCACAAACCTGGTGGAAGGCTTGGGGGCCTCCAGTGTTCCAGGGCCCTTGCCCAGCCCCCACTGAGATGTTGCCTTCTGGGAGGGTCCCCATCACAAAGATCCAGAGGCTCTTACCACCCATTGGAGATACGCCACCAAGCCGGGAACTGGGCTCCTGTGGGAAAAACTGGCGCAAGCAGACCTCAGAGGCCGCTCAGAACCAGGATAGAAGCATCTGCGGCAGGTCAGCTAAGACCAAGGAGGAGCTGTGTTCTGAGAGCCCTGAACTAATGTGGCCTGGAAATGTCTGTGACCTTTGGCCTCAGCTTGCAAAGGACAAACTTCAGTTCTCCTGCAGGGGCTTGGCAAGAAGCTTCAAAAGCTTTGCAGCCAAAAAAAAAAGGCTTTGCTGCCTTAGCAGATCAGCAAAAACCACTTGTCCTCACGACATCCATGACAAGAGGCTCCTGTCACTGGGGGCAACCTTTACCACCAGGGACACAACGGGAGGCCTGGGGGTAGGCCAATGACATGTGACCAGAGCCTGGGCCAAAAGCATGCCATGGGGTCGCTCCCCTGAGTAGCATCTGAGCCTTGAGGAGCGCTCAGGTATGGTGGGAAGCCTCTTGCCGTGGCCATATAGGTTCCAGAGAAACGGAGACTCATGTCTCCCCTACCTGGGCTGCAGGCCCCTGGGCTGGGCTGAGTCCCGGGGCAGTGCTGGTAGCTTCATTCTTTATAGCTGGCTCTTGCACACGGTGCCCAGAAAGCCACCGAGCACAGCCGTAGTGATGCACAAAAGTGCAGGATGCCCCCCACCTCGAGTGTGTCAGGGGAGCCGACAGGGGTCACTGCAAATGTAAGTATATTTATGTGACTAGCCACCGCGCTAGCTTAGAAAGTCAGAACCTGTCAAGCCAGTCCACTGTAGGATGAAGTTGTGTGTTTTCCTCCAGAGAATAGCCAACAGTTCTCTCGTAAATATTAAACACAAAATATGAGACAGAATCCCCAGGTCAGGGCTGTGGGGTTCAGCACTTGCAAGTGATTCACTGGAACGTAAACTCCACGGCCTTCTCCGAGGCGAGGTGATGGATTGTGCTCACCCTGCAGCCTCCGAGCCTAGTGGGGTACCCAGCACACAGTAGGTGCTCAGCAGGTGTCGTTCAAAGGATGAATGCGGTGCTCACCAGGCAACCTCTCTTCTGATCCTTATGGCCACCCCCTGAGGTAGCTTATCTCCATCCCCATTTTTTTTTAAAGATTTTATTTATTTATTTGAGAGAGAGAATGAGAGAGAGCATGAGAAGGGGGAGGGTCAGAGGGAGAAGCAGACTCCCTGCTGAGCAGGGAGTCTGATGCGGGACTCGATCCCGGGACTCCAGGATCATGACCTGAGCCGAAGGCAGTGGCTTAACCAACTGAGCCACCCAGGCGCCCCTCTCCATCCCCATTTTACAGACAAGGAAACGGAGGCTCAAATGTGCGGGGACTGGCCTGAGGCCACAGACAGGGCGTGGCACAGCCAACTCTGAGCTGGCTCCGCTAACTTCAAGGCCTAGCAGCCCTGAGTGACCGAGGGGACCACGTGGGGTGGGGAGCACATGGAGGGGAGCCCTGCAGCGGGGGCCCCAGCAGAACCAGGACTGGCCGCCCTCCCAAGGGGGGCAGAGGGAGCCGAGCAGAAAGAACCAGCCCGAACTGCCAAAAAGACACACACACTTTAATCACTCCGGACAAGCAGGGCAGGGGCGAAGTCAGGCAAGGGGTGGCTGGATAGCACGAGCCTTCACGGCACTTGGTCAGGTCCTGCTGCCAGCCCCCAGCCACTTAGCCATGAATCTGTCAGCTATGAGTGAGCACCAGAGACCACCGCCAGGGCCACCTCGGCCCGGCAGTCGGCATCAGCACCAATGGGTAGAGGCCATTTCCCTCTGGAGGGAGGTTCAGGCCCCCTGGGCTAGGAGGAGAAGGCCGGAGACCGCCAGGCTGCCCCCCCCTGGAGGAGGGAGAAAGGACAGAAGGCCAGATGTCCCTTACTTGGCCTCGGTCTCGCCCAGTGCCTGTCTTGGCAACATGGCTCAGAGGAGGCTCCCCCGCCCCGACTGACCTGCAATGTGGCCCGCTTCAGTCCCCTAGACCTGCTGAGGGGTCCAAAGCCCGGCCCACGGCCCCGGTGGCTTGTGTAAAAGCAGCATCAGGCTGGGCAGGAGCTTCCTACCAGGGCCTCAGCACCTTAACCAGGCCTGGAAAGCCAGGGACATTGGGCTGGCGAGAGGGGCCAAGGAGGGTCAGAGAGCACCTGGGGACAGACGTCAGTGTCTGACAGTGGCTGGGAGCCTGAGAGGACGGAGGCCCAGGCACCTTTGGGAGGGTGGACGGACAGGGCGGGGAAGGGGATGTGTGAAGAGGGGAGGAGTCCTCGAAGGTTACTGTACTGGGCGTGTGGGGAGCTGTGGGTCCGGGCTCCCTTCCCCAAGGGCCCTCTTTACCCCCAAGCCCCTGGATCCTCCCCTCATAGCACCCTTGCCCTGACCAAGGCCCTTCTGGGGTTTGCTTTAACGAAGGTCATTGGGCAGGAAGGAAAGGAATGGACAAGGATAAAGAATACCCCCACCTTGGGGACTCTAACCCACCTTGGGGATCTGCAGGTAAGGAGGGGCCACAGTGCCTGAACGCCCAGACACAGACTTCTGTGATGAGAGCCCCGTGCATTTATCTGGGTCTGGTTTCCTGATCCTGAGTCTCCCCACCCTGGCTGGACTGGGTGCTCACCAAAGGCAGGGCCTGCGTCTGATTCACCTCAGCTTCCCCAGAGCCTAACACAGAGTGAGTGCTCAGCGAGCGTTTGATGAATGAATAAGTGAACTGCGGCTGCTTAGGTGCACAAGAGAGTGACAGAGGAGGTGGAAGGAGCGCGAGGACGTTGGGGGGGGGCGTCCTGGAGGGATGAGAAAAGTGAAGGATGATGGGAAGAGTCTAGAATGTTTGGAGGAGTCCAGAATGTTTAGAAAGTCTACGAATGTTGTGAAAGTTCTAGAATCTGGTTACCTAAGTGGGGTCCATAGACCAGCAGCATCAGCATCAGCCAGGAACTTCTTAGATGTGCAGAACCCCAGGCCCACTCCAGAACCAGAATCAGATTCTGCATGTTAGCCCCGTCCCCAGGTGGTTCACACCCACTTTCAAGTTTGACAGGTGCTGGTCTCAAAGGCTGGGAAAGTTCTAGAATATTTAGGTTAGAGGACCTCTTAAAGTATGTTCAAGAGAGGAGAGAGAGAGGGGTGATGGAGGGAAGGAAAGAAGAGGAAGCTCACCCAGAATGCCAGGTCCCGGGGGCCCATTTTACGGAGGGACACACCGAGGCCCTGCAGGAGGACAGCCCCCCACCACCCCGGGGCTGGGGCCGCCCTGCTGGGGGCACTAATCATCCTCGGGCTTGATGAGGTGGCCGCTGAAGGTGATGTAGGTGTCCACGTCGTCGCTGTAGACGGCATTCTCCCGCTCGCGCTTGAAGAGGCGCACCCAGACACGGTCCCCGGGCGCCAGGGCCAGCATCACGCTCTGGCTCTGCATGATGCTGCGGTCGCTCGGCTGCGCGTACAGGATGACGGCCGCCTCCTCGTTGTGCACCACGTGCACGTACGTCTCCTTGAAGTTCCAGCTGTGTACGTTGAGGCTGAAGAAGTAGAGGCCGCGCAGCGGGGCGACGAAGCAGCCAGCGGCCAGGTCGAAGTGCCCGTCGGGGTTGACGAAGACCGTGTCGAATAGCAGCGGCTGGAAGCCCTCGCTGCTGTGGAGGGCCGTCTTGCGGCCCACTGAGAAGGCGGAGAAGCGCGTCTGGCACGGGCCGCCAGGGCTGCCTGCCTGCCCCTTGGCGCCCTTGGTGCCCTGCGGGCCGCGCTCCCCCCGGGGACCCTCGCGGCCCAGCTTCCCGGGCGTGCCCAGCAGGCCTCGGTCCCCTTTGTCACCTGTGGGGACAAGAAGGGGAAAGTCAGGGCAGGCACCCTGCCCTGCACCAAGGGAGTAGCTGTCTGCGTTTGCAGAGGGCTCCGCCCCGCCACGAGAAGGAAGGCCAGAGAAGATCCAGCATTTACTGAGCACCTACTGCATGCCGGGCATCACCTCCCTGAACGCCCCTCTGAAGAAGATACCGTGACCATCTCCGCTCACAGGAAGGTTCAGTGACTCACCCAGGGCCACACAGCTCAGGAGAAGCAGGAGAGGCAAGACTCGGGATGCTCTGTCTTCCACTCGCCTGGTCCCCTCCCCCTCCAGTGAAGGTGTGATAAAGTTCCCTGGGAAGCCGGGCCCGAGGCCCAAGAGTCACTGCACCCAGCCTGACTCCAGTGGAGATGTGGGGTATGCAGGATGCACTTGGCATTCCTTTTTTTTAAAAATTTTTTATTTAAATTCAATTTAGTTAACATACAGTGTATTATTCGTTTCAGGGGTAGAATTTAGTGATTCATCAGTTGCATATAACACCAGTGCTCATTACATCACGTGCCCTCCTGAATGCCCATCATCCAATCACCCCATCCTCCCACCCCCTCCCCTCCAGCAACCCTCAATTTGTTTCCCTAGAGTGAAGAGTCTCTTATGGTTTGCTTCCCTCCCTGTTTTCCTCTTATTTTATCTTTTCCTTCCCTTCCCCTATGTTCATCTGTTTTATTCCTTAAGTTCCACATATGAGTGAAATCATACGGTATTTATCTTGCTCTGACTGACTTATTTCGTTCAGCATCATACCCCCTAGTTCCATCCACATCGTTGCAAATGGCAAGAGCTCATTCTTTTTGATGGCTGGGTCACACTTTGCGTTTCTGACCCAGAGAAGGAGCCAAGGAAAATACCTCTGCCTACCTGAAGGGAAAGGCCCTGGTTAGGAACCAGGCAGCCCTTGGTTGGTGTTATGTCCCGCTGGCGCATTTCACGGTCGGGGTCTTGGTTATTTTCTCTCTGTCTTGAAGAGGATCATGTCCACCTCACAGGGGTGGTCCTGGGCTCTCAACAAAATGTCCTATGGGAGAGTGCTCTACAGACTGCAAATATGAGGCAGGAGGGTCCACCCAGTAACACTCAACCCGTTCCTGATTGCCCAGGGGTCCGGTAGCATCTAACCTCATCCTTAGGCACACCTCTCCCCAGCCTTTGTTCCAGGCTGACCTTGAACACAGGAGGAGCAGGCGACCCCCTATGTCTTGAGACCCAAATGTCTTGATCCCAAACATTTCCCTGCTGCCTGTCACACTGCCTGAACTCCCACCATTAGCCACTCCCCTTTGAGAGATCTGCACAGCCCTGTGTTTTCCCAAGGTCTCCTGTGACCAGGGCAATATTGCTGGAAGGAGCAGAAAGGAAAGCATAGACCCACAGAGGACAAGCCTGGAAAGAAGCAGGGAGAAGGGGGTCCACGGCTCTGCAGAGGTTTGGCCTCAATGGAGAAGGATCTCCTCATGTGCACCGCACTTTACAGTTTGCAGGGCTTTTTTTTTTTTTTTTAGCAAGCATAACTTGACTTTATTGTGGTATGTCCATTCAGAGGACCTGGTCTGCTAGGATTTTGTCACAGGGGCTTCAAAACTAGGGATTTAAAGCAAACTAAGAAGAGCAACTTAATTTATGCATTCACTAGAAAGTGTCCATACTCTTGCTACAACTATAAAAGAAACTGCTTCTCTGCCCCAGCCCAGTGGGAGGGGCGTGAAGGGTGGTCCTAGGAAGGGGTACCTTCTCCTTTTTACAAACGAGGCAGCAAGCCAGGGACGGAGAGACCAGTCTGAGCCACACAGCGAGGGAGCGGAGCAGCTGGGGCTGGGACCCAGGACTCCTGACACCAGCCAGGAGCCTCCTGCCACAGCCAAGTGTCCACCCGCCTCAGCAGGCAGCAAAGGCTGGCCCAGGGGTGTCCTCCTAAACCTGGGGTTTTAGGAAGACAGTGTGGAGAAAAGTACCTCTAGTGGCCAGGCAGCTCCTCAGCCTCAGGCAGGGGCTCTGCGAGCCTTGGGGAAGATGGGGTGCTCGAGGAAGGGAGGTGTCTCCCCCCATGAAACCTGAGGGCCAGAGGTCTCAGAAGCCAGCCGACCCCTGGCTGGAGGGTGGACTGGCCCCATGGAGACCTCAGGGATGGATCCTGGCTTCACTCCTGACAGCTGTGTGCTCCTGGGAGAGCTCCTCCCCTCTTGGAGGCTCAGTTTCCCCCTCTGCAAAGTGGGAGGAATGACCAAGTACTGACCTCTTAGGGTTGTTGGCAGCGCAACCCCAGGTGAAGGGCGTCTAGGGCCTGGCCCCAGCCCCAGCTATTCACAGCCCCCGGCAGCAGAAGCCTCTTCCTGATTTTCGAGGACAGAGGCCCGCTCTCACGTGGACAGCCCTAGTGGCTGCCCATAGGTCTCCCTGCTTCCACCCTTGTCCCCTGCCAGCCATTCTCCACAAGACATTAGAGGGATCCATTTGCAACCTCAGTGGGATCAGGTCCCTCTGCTCAAACCGTCCCCTGCTCCCCATTCCCACTCAGGGAAACCCAAGTCTGACCCGGCCCCTTGTTTCATCTCCAACTTCAGCTCCTCCTCTTGCCCCCTGCTCCTTAAACACACCAGGCCCACTCCTGCCCCAGGGCCTTTGCACCTGCTGCTCATGCTCCCTGGACTACTCTTCCCCAGATATCCACATGGCTTCTCCCTCACCTGCTCAATGAACTGACACTGACGACCACCCCATTTAATATGCAACCTATCCCCCGCACCTACACTCCTGATGCCCCTTACCCTGCTCGACCTTGGCACTACCATCGCATTTCTCACCATCGAACATTCTGTTTCATTAACATGGGCAATATATTTATTTCTCACTCTCTGTCTCTCCCACGAGAACAGCAGTCGGCACTTCTGTCTGGTTTGCTCATGCTCCATCCTCAGAATTCAGAACAGTCCTGACACATAGTAGCTGCTCAATAAATGTATGAATGATAGAACGGGTCTGGGACAATTTTCTGTCTGGGTTTTTCCTGCTCCCTCCACCTCACCGGTCCCAGCCCAAGGAGAGGGCCCCACGCCCTCCCCATCCCCAGCCAGGCCAGTCTAGCCTGAGCCACGGGTGGGTACTCACCCTTCAGGATGGTGATGTTAATGTAGGGTCTGACCTCAGGCAGCAGGTATGGGAGGGCAGATGGAGAGGCCGAGGACACTGCTTCATCAGCAGGGGCCAGGGCGTCCTCAGAGTCACAGCACCGTTGACAATACCCAGGGGAACCCGAGGCCACGGCTTCCCCAGAGGAGGGCTCCTCGGTGGGGACCCCAAACACCAAGAGAGGGAGCAGGAGTGTTGCACAGAGGAGGCCCAGGGCAGCTATCCCCATGGTGACCTGGAGCAAGGAAGGAGGGGCGGAGATTCTATTTAAGGGAACATCCACACCGCGCAGATGCCCAGCACGGACGCTGCCACCAGAGCATCAGCGCGCCTGATGTAACTCAGGGGCGGAGCGTTAGCGTCCCCATTTAACAGATGAGAAGACTGAGATCGACACAGAGAAACAATTTCTTCAAGGTCACGAAGAGACTGGTGGCCATGCAGGGCCCACAGGCTGAGTCCCCTGGAAGCCAGTCTGCGGGGATTTCCGGCACACATAGGCCTGGGAAGGAAACCCCTCTAAAGAGAGTCACGGCCGGGAACAGACGAGGGTCCCAGGAAGCCTTTGCTGGGGTGGGCGAGGAAGATGCTCCAGCCACCCACGTGTCCTAACCAATACGACTATGAAATGCTCCCCCCCACCCCGCCCCGCCCACCTCCCTTTGGCATGTTTTCTTGTCACGTACCCCTCCGTCTCCAGCAAGCACAGGCCACTGGCGCAGCATGAGGGAGGTTAGTGGGCCCTTGGGACAAACGCCAATGATTCTGCAGGCTTGTTCTTCAGGCGAGGGGACAAGTGGCTAAGCCCATGGCCTGGCACGTGAGCACCGTAGTCCTGACAAAGATCTAGGCAAGTTCATCTATTCTAGCAGTCGGGAAGGAACATCCAGAGAAAATGCAAGGGGTTATGCACAGTGATGCTGTTACTGCATCTCTGAGAATTCAGGAGTAGGTATGCAGGACTGCAGACTGCAGCCCACTGCTAGCCTGCCTGCCTATACGGTGTCTCTGTGCAAGGCAGAAGCAGGTACCTCTCTGCGCGGACAAATTAGAAACAAAAAAAGAAAAGAAGTCATTTTCGGAGGAATGTAACACTAAGGGTGTGTAGGTTGGTAAGGGTTGTTGTCAACCCACCTCCCCCTCAGCACCTTTGTGCAGTCAACAACCCACACAGCTCAACCTTAAACAGAAGCCCCAAGGCTCTGGAGTTAATTCATTGGAAGATGGTTGTGTCAATCGTCATAGACCTACCAATCAGCTGCCAAGGGGGTAAATTGGAATTAAGGAGCAGGACTAGGAGGTCTGGAAAATTCAAAAGGATCGGAGAAGTCCAAGGGTTTATGAAGATGGGTCTTTGGCCCTGGCCAAGAGAGGTTCCAGAGTTCCAGGAGGGGGGCAGGAAGTGGCCAGGACAGCAGACACTGGGGACAGGCTGGGGCTGGGTGCGCAGGAAGCCGGGCAAAGAGCCTTTGAGGTGGTAGCAGTGTTTGGGGGCTGGCATGTTATCGCAGGATCAGAAACTCGGCTCTTGAAACCAGACTGGTTTTTACACTTCTGGCGTTTCTTTGTTTATTTCCTTTTTGTTCCTTTAACATTTAGTACAATTCAAAAATATTTTTTCTGTGGTTAATATATGTAAAGTTAAAATTATTAATAAAAAAAATGCTATTCTATCTCCACTGAGCACTGAGGTAAGGGATGGGTTTTAAAGGGCACCCCCCCACACACATACACACACACTCCACTGTGCTGGGGACTGGGTAGTAGCAGGAGTGGGGGGGCGGTGGGCAGGCAGTCCCCAAAGATACCACCCTTCTCTTAGAGGTGACCATTCCCGAGCTCCACCCTGGTCTGCTTTCCTGGTTCTGCTCAATAAGGCAGATCAACTTCTCAGAGATTAACATCCTCTCTGTCCAAGATCATCACCCTCACCCTGTGTTTGTAAATGTCGCATCTCCGTGATGTTTGAGAAGAGCAAAAATCCCCTTTTTCCTGGCCATAGATGTGACTTTATGGGAAAGGGTGAGGCCTTAGGGTTGGTCATAAGATCCCATGATAGTTTACAAGCTGTGTGACCTCGGGCTAGTAGCTTAACCTCTCTGCGCCACCTCGCTGCTCCTTGACACTTAGAAGGAGCTGAAACCACTGCCCACCTCCCAGGTTATTTGGGAGGCTCTGAATGCAGGGAAAGTGCCTGACTTGTAAGACTCTTAACACAAAGGACAGCAGAGGGAATAGTCAGTAACATTGCAATAACATTGTACGGTGACTACACTTAACAGTGGTGAGCGCTGAGTAATATATAGAATTGCCGAATGACTATGTTGCGCGCCTGAAACGAATACAACATTGTATGTCAATTACACTTCAGTAATAAACAAATAAGATTGAAAAAGTATTCCTTCCTGTGACGGACAAGGGCCCTTCCCAGTACCCGCACGGGCTGGGAAGAGCAGAATTTCACCTGGAGGACTGGCATGGTTGGGGATGTTTCTGTTGGCAGAGGCCAGGTGGGAGTCAAAAGCTCTGAGACACAGAACTGTGACCTGGGGAGCGCAGGAAGCAGGAAGCAAAGCAGCCATGAACAAGAGTAATAATAACCACAGCCATGATCATGGACTGGCCCCGGGGGGCCGGGGCCAGGCAGGGATCGGGGGTGGGGGACGGTGCCATCTGGGGTGATTTGGGGGGGTCCCTCCTGCCTCCGCTCAGGAGCTGGGAGCTCTCTGGGGTGGGAGGGGGCTGGGCCTGCTGAGCTGAGCTGGTGAGTGTCGGGGCAGGGGTGGGCACAGCTGGAAAAGCAGGGCAGCCCTTCACCAGGGGCTTAGGTCTCAGCCAGCAGGAGGGAAGGGGGGAAGGAGAGCTAGAGGGGCTGGCCTGGGTCAGAGGGAGAGAGCAAAACCCAAGACGTGTCTAGGAAGAGAGGAGGGAAGAAGGGAATTCCGGGCTCTGACCCCAGCGCCTTG